AAGTATAGAACGAAGGTCACCGACCTTAACCAAGCTTCCTCTAAGCAAAGAGCTACGGAAGCCTCTAAGCGAAAGAGCTACGAAAGCACGCTCCAGGCGTACTTCGACATGCTTCAATTGGATCAAGAAGCGATAACGCAACGCTTAGCAAGTTTGCTTCGTATGAGAAAGACTTACTGGGGATTTTATCCCAGAACATACCGGCGCCGGTTCTGTCACCTCCACCTCAAGCGGTGGTAACACCGTCGGTACACATGGAACGGTCCACAAAATAGACTTTCGCAGAAACGAAGATGAAAATCTTGCGTTCTGGCAGCGAGAAATAGATATCGCTACAGCGATGGCTCAACATCGTGATGACCGCAGTCCCTCGTGATATTGGTACCACGTGGCTCGGAACTACTAAGACGAGAATAGTATTGAAAGGCTCGTCTCCCACGCGGAAATCACGAAGGATGGGGCCAAATTGTTGACATCCAGGCCAGCAAATATTCTACCTACGGGGCAGGCACCGCGATAAGATCCATCGGTTTTGGACTTCCAGTAGTAGAAGTCACTGCTTCCATCGGAATGAGCGATTGACCACGTGCTTGACGTTGACAGTGGTCCTCACGCAATGCAATCATAATTGCATACCTCAGAGTCATTGGACTCTGTCGGAAGACTTCAGCGTTAGTAGGGTCATAAGTGAGTCCCTTCATAGACATAGTGACAATCACAGTCTCTGGCAGTGGTCGCTTGCCATACTGACACGAAGCCCACGAAGCCCACGAAGCTTCTGTACGACTATGTACAGATCGTGGTAGTCGTACAATGTACTGTTGTCTTGACGGCATGAAAATAAAGTTCGACTGTTGTCGAAACGCCACATTCGGCAGAAAAAACATCGATCCCTTGCCCTCTCTAACTCTTGCCATGTGTTAAATTAACCAGGACGATTGACTTTCCATGTCATCGCCCAGTCCTTCGCATGGCCATCCAAATGAGGCATGGCGAAAGCCTATTCGTTTAGGAAACGCTGATACCCAGTAGACGCAAGGCGGTGTACTGAGGCAATTATAATGTGGTAGGAGAATCCCACATGAAAGTTTACCCCCCTTGGAGGATCATTATCCTTCGTTAACGACACTCTTTGAGTCGAAACTTCCTCTGTTAAAACTAAACGGCAACCCGGCTGCATTAGTTGACAGTTCGAAAACTCTGCGGAATTTTTATTACCACCATCAGATGCAACAGTTTGTCGTTAATTGCGAAATGCATGGCAAGATTTTACAACAGCAGTAAGTAGTATCGAGGCTTCAGACCCTTACGAAAAACCTTCGCGCTGGTTTATCGAAATTATGATATCTTCAGAGATTATTTTGGCAATAAGGGAATATTGGTGACGCGGTGAGAGGGAAAACTTCTGGTGCAACTGAGAAGCAGGAGGTATCTCCATATATGATACCACTGTCCGAAATGATCGGTGAATAAAAAGTTTGTTAAGACTGCCTCTATCTGTGAGTCCCATAAAAGTAAGTTCTCGTCAAGAAATAAATGCCTCCTACTATTCAGTGAGAATGAGTAAAACGAATACTATGTTTTTTCAGTGCGTCGAGAGATTACTGCACCATATGATGTAAATTGACGTTTCAAGATTACAGCTAGAATAAATTTGACGTTCTAAACATAAGTTGGAGGCCCCGATGTACACGACTCGATTTGTGGTACCTAAAAAAAGCTCTCACTAATCGCTTCTTTGATGGCTGCGGCGACATTAAGTTGTTTGATTTGTTCAGAATCACGGTATTGCCATATGGCTTCTTACGTTTGTTAGCTGCATTTGCTTCGCCGACGAGGTGTTAGAATTTATAGTAATAAAGCTATGCATCCTCAGCTTTATATTAAAGCATCACAAGCAGTGTAAGAAACGTCTTGATTTATCGGTGACCGGAGATGGTATAGAGACTGGTTGAGCGTCTAAACCGAAATAGTCTTCTTCATATTCCAATAGTACTAGCATACACCAACCATTTGTTGTTGGCTTGGACGAGGATTTGAAAGATATTTGTATCTTCTTTTGACAAAACGAATATTGCAATGAAATCAGATCAATCACTATGGACTACCAGAAACTTCGAGCTTGTCGAAATGGTGCAGCAATTGGTGCCATATAGCTCCTCATCGAGACAGTCATACATACTTTCTCGTATGAACCTTCTCGATACGCGCATAGATAGCTTTACATTAAAAATATGTAACGCTCGAAGCTTTGTATAACCTATCCAAACTCAGTTGCTCAGCAGCCAAGCTGAAATATGCGACACACAAGGGCTATCACCATGTGACGCAGTATCTGGTTCCGACGCCAAGTCAGTTTCATGACCTAACCCGTCTTGTCTATATGATGAAAATGAATCAGAGCTTATAGGCTAGATTCAGCGTGGTACATAATGAAGCCAATCTATGCGACCGGAGAATTTTCTGTAGCAACACACGATGCCACTGCTTGTTTTTTCAGATCCATGTGTAACGGCGACAATATATTCGCTTTCAAGCCCTTTCAAAGCCATATGTACTGATTTGGACTCAAGCTCGACATTTGCCTTCCGATGCCTTTGCTATCGCATCGGGTGCAACCTTACACCGCTCGTCATCTCACGACACAGTCACCGCTTGAATACAAAGTACGCCATGTACGCTGTGTCAATATCCTAGAAATAACTTCCTCCCACGTTAACTCACTCCATTCGGTATGATGTTGTGATTACTGTGACCGCATTTAGCTTGAATGGCTTTACGTTATAAATAAACTCCATTTCTCTCTGCTTGATTGTACAGCTTTTATCAGATGAAATGTCGCAGGCAACTTGCCTTCTCCAGTTGATTATAAGAGGCTGCTTGTATAATAAAATGGCCATGAATCACCTCGCCAATCAAATAATCCTTGTATACATTTCTCTTGGCTGTAGACTCTAATATGTGATGAAAAAAGCACTCTTGGTGTGGTTTACGCTTGTTCGCTGCAGCGGTATCAATGCAACGGCAAAAAATGATCTTGTCGTCAAAAAAAAAATCAACTTTATATCGAAGTCATACCTGCGACCCAAAGTCTGGCATGTTGTACAGCATAAAACCTAAAAGGTCTCCTATGTCTGGCCACAGCCTCGAAAACATAATCCATTTAAAGAACTGCTAACTGCGACAACGGCATTGTGACGGCCTCTCGTCTTTTACTGTGTGATTAATATGCTAGCCGACGTCTTCGTGAAACCTCTTTTCGCCTGCAAATAGAAGCGATTCTCCGCTCGTTACGGGTGATTTTACACTCGTTAAGGGCACTTTTTTGCTAGATAAATCAATTGTACCAAAACGTATGTTGGCTGTCTTCGTCGATAGTGCAAAAGAAATATCGTTATCAATGCGCGCCGACTCGAGAGGTCTAGACCAGGTATCCTTTTCATTGGAGCGCATATTAATTGACTGCATTGGTCTGTTTGGATCGGAATATGGCAGTAAAAGAACGGCAGACACACCGACTTCTCAGGTCTTGAACACAATTTCAACTAATTTTTACCTGTACGTGGATTGGTGAGGATAGTGTATTCAAAACCTTAAGGCGCAAAAGCAGTAAGCGCTCGCCAGAAGTTTTATCAGCCACGAGAATGGCAAGCGATCTCCGGGAAATTCTCGACGAGACATCGACAGAAATATCATTTAATTCTACCGAGCTCCATCAGGGTAAAATTTATGATCCGCCATTACTCATTTTGCAGTACTTACCCCCTGACATTCCTGCAGCACACTGTACTTCACATTTATTTCATGACAGGGCGTATAACAGTCACTGCTCCAAGCACAACCGCTGCGCCTAGAGCTTTACCTCACAATCTACATTTTACCGCGCCTGCACTTCTGAGTGTACTGGTATTGGACTTCCTCTCCTGTGCACCGAGTTAGATCGCTCAACAACTCTCCAACAGAAGCGCGGTCTTCGCGACCAACGCGCTCGAATGCCGAGGTGTTCTCCGATGACTGCAATCCATGCGACATTTCGCATTCCGACCAAGCAGACGATAATGGGCCTACCCAATTGTCGGAGAGGAAACGCTCATTGCGCTCAGCCTCATCGCTGCACTATTCATAAGCTTTGTGTCTTTTTCCATCGGTCGGAAATGTACCGTGAAACCCACGATGATGTTCAGCACTTCACAAACGAGCTGGACCAGGTTCAGGAATACTGGCTTGCTTTACAGCAAACGCAAAGGTCACAGCGGCGCTTGCTTACATCACATTGCGATTACGATTAGAGACAGTCAAAAAGTTGCTTGTCGCGCTGCGAAGATCTCAGACGTTTATTTATGTTGATCTGTCGCTCGCTTCCACGGCAAATGATGCCCATGAAACTTGATCCGCGAGTGTTTTCGTACCCCCACAGGTTCTCATTCCACTTGAGTACTGTCAGAGCTTGTAGCAGCAGCGTAATGTGCATGAGGGGAGCAGCTTAAAAAATAGATGGTAGTGAGAATACATTTGAGTATTATACTCAGCTCCCGCGTCGAGTCAGGAAGCTTCGCCACCTCACAGTTCTTAAGACCAAAATTGCCAGCCCAAGCGAAATACTGAGTCGTCGCATGTTCAACTTTGCAACTTATAACGACACGGACATCTAGGCGACAAGCCCTCACCTCAAGTTCCGACTTTCACACAGCCGATCGTCTTCATAAGACAGCTGTGATAGTTACCGACTATGGGCATGACCACCGCAAGGTTGACCGCCGACCGCCCCCCACTAGTAGGTAGCGCGCTAGTGACGGGCGACTTTACCTCTTTTCAGAAATACGATGACGGCCGAGGGTGCGCCAGGTCGTAAATAGCCACGATACCCTGGCAAACTTGCCAAGGTGTATTTCGAGTCTTAGACTGAGTATAGCCTATCAACCTAACCAGGCACTGGTTACAGCCCTAGTACCACCTAACACTCCTCGTGAAAGTAGGCCACCCCTTGCTTCTCGAGAATTAACGGGGGGTCGACCATCCCGAAGCATTCACTTGTAAGCACTCTAGCTTGTGTTGACACGTTGAGTCTTGGCAAGCTTCCTAGGCTGAAATAAGCTACATCTCGTTTTTGCTCTCTGGAATTCGCCATCACACTGCCTTTTAAAAGCACCGGTGGTTCAGACTGCTTTGGGGCAGAGTGCAGATTAGCTACAAAGGGTTCTGGAGAGGTTTCTTCGTTTGCAACATATGTGATCACGTCTGACTGGATTGAAAGAACGGAATCGAGATATGGCTTCAGTAAGCCCACATAGAGCACTGGGTGTGCTAGCTTTCTGGATAAAACTTATACAGAGTAACTCAATCCTTTCTTAGCTACAACAATAAGGAATTCGTTGTAGCGCGTTCGCAACTTATTCTACAAATCGCAGACACTACGTGTGTAAATAGGTCACTTTTTTAAATAATTTATTGCTTGCGACATTTTCGTGTATATTCCGCCTGCCAGTGGCATTTCCGTGTAAATTTTACTTACCTTGGCTTTCAGCCATCGATTGTGCAACTTGCACACGACGCTCAATTTTAGTGAGATTAGTCACTACTTTTACTAAGACTTGAAGATGAGCTTACATCACCAAGTCAAATTTGACCGCCATTCCTTTACCCACTAAGATATAGCCACCTTTTGGCAGTGTCAAGCGCACCTTGGTCAATGGTTTTAATAGGTAAGTGGGAGTAGTTTGCTCCAGCACCGCGGCCCTTCGCGTAAGCTATCATTTACTACGCAATTACTGTGCTCCATCTTTGGTCTGTTTGGGGACTGCTAGATGTTGACGTATCCAATCAGGTGTCAAGCACCCTAAATAATGCTTGCAGTAACATAGCTGTAAAGCACTAATCTCTACCCAGTACGATGGCTGCGGCAATAAATGTTGGCAAGATATCTTGTCGAGCAACATTTTGTTATAGCCAAAAGCAACGAGACGAGCCGCTCTGCAGATATTTCGGAACAGCAAAATCTCAAGTGTTACCATACGCGTCTTTTGGAATCCAAAATTGAAGTCAATACGTTAGGTTGCCAGCACTTATGTCGACACTTTTCGTAAGTTTCAATGTGCGTCTGATGAAAACAGTGGCTAGCCTACAGTTTTTGACGTAGGTTGTAGACAGACCGGCCAAAAATGCCACCGCATGCGGCGAGGGTCGAACCCACCTACAAGTATCATTCGTGCATACATATGCGCTTTCCCTATCATATATGTTGGACTGCGACAACATAGCATCTCCTAAGTAGTTTGTCCTTTTCTTCCGAAGTTATCGCACATTAGGGTATCATGTACCTCGAACGGTTCACTACACTTGACGTCCTCATTGTGATGCATCACTACGCGCTGAGTTTTTTGTGAGGGTGAGTGATGTAATACAGAAAGCGTTCAAATGAAGCTCGGCAGCGCAGGAATGTGACTGAGTTCAGGTTTGAAACTCTTTGCTCGACAAATCTTTCAACAGCGCAGCAGGTGTTGCGTCTGACCCTCAGCTGGCGACGTCACTATTGTGGCATGTGCCAATTCATCGTTGGGGCGAACAATCCGCCTCCATACGAAGCCGACGCGGCTTGGACCTTACCTTCACGGTATATCCGGCAATAAAAAATATTTATCTTGTCTATCTTGGTGAAAGACTCAGTGAAGATGCTGCCTAGTGCAACGGCACATGATCTATTCAGATCACAAACGGCATCGACCCGAGCATGTATTCCGTGAACTTGACGAGGTCATTCAACTATTGCAAGGAGCTCATTGCTATGAGCTGGCGAGAGGACAGACGCGTTTACCCGCGTTGTATCCATTGGTAGCAAACACAACACATTGTGATGGCTGAAGCGTTGCAGACAATGTGTAACGGCTGGTCTGGATGTGAAGAGCAAACGAAGCACTTAAAGTCTGCCTCTACCGCCGCAACTAATCTCAATATACATTCCGATTAAGAAGATTGGTTAGGGGTCGTGATATTTCGGCATAGTTTGCAAGGTAATAGCTAGGTGTTTTGTCGAGGCCAGGTTACTTTCTCAAGCTCTTTGGGGCAGAGGTGATGACCAAGCTACACTGACTTTTACCTTTGCAGAATCTGCTTGACGACTTTGTACTCAAAGAACAAAATTGAAAAGGCGATTCTGTCGGCGCCAAAGACACACTTATCTTCAATGGCAAATAAAGAGTTTATGCGCATACACCCAGGCACTAATTTAATTTATGTAATGTGTTTCAACAACCGCATTCCCATGCTCTGAACAACTATGGACGGATAACGCCGAATTAAAACCTTTTCCATAGCTTAAACCGCTAGCCACCAGCCGATCAAAGCTGCTGGTGCATCAAATCTTCCCTTAGGCATAGCCATACACTCTCAGAGCATCCCACTCAAAGTAGTTACCGCAGTGAGAGAAAGATCGCTGTCTTTCATGAGCAGTCGATAATATTCACCAACGTTGTTTGGATTGCAAAACACAGTGTCGTTGATCATACTTTTCTGCAGAACATTCTCTTCATAAAGATAGCGCTTGCACAAAAATCGTAGTTATATATAGATTATTATGCACAACACGCCTCTCGTTGTTAGCTTTTCTAATACAGAAAGTCTGCACCGATTGTGAAGACTCACTTTCCCACCAAATTCGCTTTTTGATTTGCATATCAATGACGCCAAAATATTTCCTTGCTTTTACGTGTGTGATACGTGTGGCGGATTTCTCGTCACTACGTCGTGAGATTCTACAAAAGCTAGAAGTAATCTGCTGGATTCTTGCAAATAACTGTCAGTGTCTCTTATGATAGAATCACCATAAAATATTACGAGTATTGCATCTTCTCCGATATCGAAGGTACCATTTCGGTGTCCACCGTCTTGCCAGGGGATATTTCCACCAGCTTCATGAGAGCCTTGAGCGGCAACGAAATGCTTTACGACCCTTAGGACAATATCCACGAGTGAAACCGTTTCTTGCCAATCTTCCGTGGGGCTTCACTAGACGCGTCACATGGTATTGCCGACTCGGCAGAAACATCACATAATGACAAAGAGAAATCATTTTTTTAGGTACTGATCCTTTTTTTTAAGAAGTTACAGTCAGTTTATTTCAAACGGCCCTGGCACAGGTGACAACAACCAGCCCCTGTTTTATATTGTTTACACTGTGGAGACCACGACATACATATGTGCTTTCGGTCTCAACAAAGATTAACTTTGGCGACCGCAGTATACAATTGATCTTTCTCGTCTCATTTCACGCTCTGATTGAAAATCTAAGCAATAAAGTTGTTTTAGTTTTGGACAACGCCATGTCCTACACGAAAACTACCCCAGCATTGCGCCCGTGTCGAAAGTTTCTCTTGCAGAATGGTCGCATCAGTCGTCAAGGTTCCACAAGGAAGAAAGTGCGTGATATCTAATTTTTCAGCCTTTCGTCTACTAATGGCTCATGGTGTTTGAGCCTCTCCATATCAGTTATGAGATAGCATACTAATCTAGGTCCAAGAGCGGACAACATTCCACGCTGTCGAGGTTCACAAACTTTACCTGAATGCTAAGGATAGCTTGTTTATAAGTGTTTTCGTCACAAGACAAACTGAAATCGTACCCTTAATTGCCATCTCCAATGCTTCCTCGAGCAGTCTGCTCTATTTGACAGGCCGAGCGATGTCTCTTGACGTCGATACCAACAACAAGCATTCCTGAGCTTGAGGCCCACCATTCTTAGACGGAAGAGAGTCCTATTGACGGAATACGACCGCCATGTGATACAATTAAGCCCACTTCTTCCCAGTAAACCGCCACGCGCCTACTGAAACTTGATATTTTTGAGCGAGAGGTCCGACGTTCCACTGAACCAAGATCGAAGACGGTACACAAGGATCAGGTACTTTAAACGTGGGTACCATTGGGCTGCTCAGTAATTTGAGATAGAGCTACTCCCAATCGTTTTTGATCGCCAATCGATAGATAACTCATAATTCTCAAGTCATGGTACACCTAAATCTGGTCATACCTTTTGTCCATATCGAGGACTTTAAACACTTTGTTCGAGTTGAAGACTTCATACATCTGTTGAAGATCAATCATAGTTTCCTCCGCGGTGGCCACCGCACCAGTCGTCAACTTCACTCAGATAAATACGTTGCTTATATCTAGTGCACCCGAAAGGTTTTCAGCAAAAACTTTGCTTCCGCGCGTAGTTACGCGACGCGCCGGAGTCAATCAAGACTCTAAACGGACCGCTGTGGCCACGATAACAAATGCACAGAATTTGGGTGTTGCGCTGCCCCAAGGAGTATACGAGAGAGTCTCCAAAGTCGCTACTCATGTAGCTTGCTCTACCATCTCACGAGCCACACGAACATGAAATTAGTTCTATACCAAGTATACACGTGTGTTCACATTTGATGATATAGCTGTCTTCATGACCTGACGTACTGCTAACGGCTCACGACCTCTTCTTTACGAAGCCTTACAATCTTTATGAGTACCACCACATCGACATCTATATATTTTCACAATTACACAGAGGTGCGATGTGAACTTCGTAATATGCTTTGCGTAAATGCACCAAAAATGTAGAATAGACAATAGTAGAGTACTAATTTGATATCGCACTGCCTGACTCTCGACATTTTTTCCTTCAAAATGTAAGCTGGCACAAAACTCCAAACAAATGTTTTGCGATAGGCCTCCATCACAAGAAAAAAACTTGTTTTTTTGCGCAAAATGTAACCTTGAGCTAAATCGCGTGTTGGTTTGGGTTGAGTCGAGGGGCATTTCCGTATTAATACTAGCAAGTTTTCGACCTGTTGCAGACATGCTTTGATGCGCATCAATACATAGTTTGTGGAGTGAGCGCGACATGACACCTCGATTGTAGTATCTCGTCCATCTCCTCAAAAAAATTTGTTCCGCCCACCAGAACATTGCACCCCAAATTTCAATTTTTAAGGCTCTGTGTGTGAAACTACTTGTAGCCGATAGCAGAGGATAATAAATGACCGACCAATGCTTCGTCAGAAATATTCGTGATGTTAGTTTTCATATAAAACTAGCGATCGTTGTGGCTCACGAAAAATGTCTTTAAATATTGATTGCGTGGAGCCAAGCGAGGAAGCAATCAATGAAAGGTCAAAGACAAAGTGAAATATTAAAGGTTGTAGTTATGCTAAAATTTCCTACCATATACATTCTACTGGATTTATTACAAGTTGATGTATGCCCTCTCTGTCACATCACTGGATACAAATACAGGACACATGTCTGGCGTTGGCTTACAATTCTTGAAGCTCAACACTGCTGTCGAGACGTCATCTTGCTAACAGTATTGAAGTATTATAATGAAATATCATGACAAGTATTGGTAAAAATGAGGTGATTGATATTCCGAAGAAGAGAGATCCGTGGAGTGAAGCCTCATGCTGTGCAGTACACAGGGATTTATTGTTATGGTTATTATCTATACAATTATTTTTAGTCTTAGTACTCTTAAAACCATTATTCGAAGTACCAACTGTTGTCGCCGATAAGCTGCCCATTTAACTTAGCTGACCCTCCATTTCGGACATTTTATACAATATGAAGTACAACGCTGAGGAGACTTCGTCAATTCGCTACCTATTCCTCACTATACGAAGTAGGTAAACGATAACACTTTATGCCATTTGTAGTGTCTGAGCTTGTAGTCAAGTCGGTATCAGTGGTGTACAGAAGTGAAGTTAGATTCGTATATTGACGCTGGTTAGGAGCTGGAAGACAGACTTCCACACCTTCTCGTGCCATATCTGACAGTCACTTTTATTTATTTATCCACCAGATGAACCACGATGCTAATCTACTAATATATAAAATGGGGGTGTAACGTAATATTAATAGCCGATACAAATATGCTACCTTATCGACGATTACGGCAATTACAGCATGAAACCCTATCCTCTATACATTTATCATTGCAAACTCATAGTCACAGCACAGCAACCCTGTTGCACCAAATGTATAGAAATATGAATGAGTTCTTGTAGCTCTCTGTCCTTCATTTTTTAATCTGCCGGTTTACATTTACTAACCTTCCAGCAAGATCTTTGTTTTATTCGTCAAATCATATTAACCCCCGCCATGTTCCGCCGTGCTGTCCTCGTTGCTACCCGCGCATCTGCTGCCTCCACGACACGCAGCTTCGCCACTTCTCGGCTGCGTACATCCATTAAAAATAAGCAGCCGAGCGCCATCGTGCTTGCCGCCGCTGGTGTCGCGGCCGTGAGTGGCTTGGCTCTCACCGACATGGTGAATGCGCGTGAAAAGACTGTGGACCTAAACGCCATTAAAAAAGAAATTATCGACATCTTTGATGACGACAACTCCATGGGTCCTACTTTAGTGCGTCTCGCGTGGCACTCGAGTGGCACGTACTCGGCCAAAGATAACAGCGGAGGATCTACGGGAGGGACTATTCGTTTTGAACCGGAGATAAATCATGGTGGTAATGCAGGTCTGCATCTCGCTATTCGGGCTTTGGAAAAGGTAAAAAAAAACCATCCTGAGATCACGTACGCCGACTTGTATATTCTAGCAGGCGTGACCATGATTGAAGAGATGGGAGGTCCAGAGATCCCGTTTCGCGTTGGCCGACCTGATGCTAATAGTGGCAACGAGCCTACTCAGACGCCCGATGACCGACTTCCTAACGCTGATATGGGAAGCAAGGAAAAAACTGCGCAGCACGTACGCGACGTGTTCTATCGCATGGGTTTTGATGACCGCGATATTGTGGCGCTTGTGGGTGCGCATGCCATTGGACGCTGTTACCCCTCGCGCAGTGGCTACAGCGGCCCATGGACCAATGCCGAGTGGACGTTCTCGAACATGTATTTCCGTGAGTTACTCGAGAATAAGTGGACCGTAAAAAAGTGGAATGGTCCCATGCAGTATGAGGATCCAACTGGTAACCTCATGATGCTACCGAGTGACATGGTGCTGATTGAGGACCCAAACTTTAAAAAGTACGTCGAACTATATGCAAAAAACGAGGATTTGTGGTTTAAGGACTTTTCAAAAGCTTTTGTTAAGCTCACGGAAAACGGCGTCAAGTTTCCTCAAACTTCGGGATGGCGTCGATTTTTTGGTGGCAATTAAACACAACTGAGAGGTACAAGCTTCAAATTTGTACGCTTCTGATTATTCTTGTGCAAAGGAGTAAGCTCGAGCTGAATAAAGTACTTTACGTGAATATGTGTCGCAATCTTCTTTTAGATCTGTAAAAGCTAGTACCCTGCTATTATTGGCATAGTTAGTGCACGTAATTAACAGTAGCAAACATGAGCTATGTCGATGCTCGACGGTGTGACGGGACTCTGCAATATGAGAAAACTTACCCTTGGGAGGATGAACGTGGATCTGCAACCGACCGTACAGTGGAAACTAATGCAAAGGCTCAGCGCGTGTACGCGATGCAACAGCAATTGATACCGACGCTTAAACTTGAACGTCCGCAGAATACTGCAGCGAATGAGCATCTTAAGGATGTGGGTCGGAGAGTGTTGATACTTCGTGAAACCACAAAGAGGGCACAGGAATATTTAGATCCCGAGAAGTATCCAAAGCTTTCAATGCCAAGTCAGTCGACTGAATTAGACTCAAATAAAGTTATAGAAGTGGAAGAAGACTTCAAAGAGACAGAAATGCGAATCGTACGTTGAAAATGGTAACATGTGCTAATAGTAAACTCAAGTCTCGTGGCGTTATCTAGACTACTATATTAATGGACCAGGATTGGGATACACGTGCGTGGAACTCGACCAAGATACAGACTGCAATCGAGACTTTATATGCACAAATCGAACATTCTGACGATGATTTTCGACGCGAGCTTGCCATTTCTATGCTTTTAAGGTTACTGAAAACTCATGAAGGTGGGTACGTTCATGCTCGTTGAATGAAGTATAAGCGATAACTTTGATGTGCTTCATTTAAGACGCAAAGAATCATGTTGAAATCTCGTTACCAGGTTTGGCAAGCAAAGCTTTTCGCACGTTTACAAAAGGCACGAATAATATCAAAATCTTTCGTATGATTCAGCTAGTTGCTGTGCTCGCCGAATGGTTTGCTCATGTTCTGTCAAATGAAAACGTGGTGAGCAAAATCATAGCTTCTTTACTGCGTGAAACCGAGGTCTGCGCTCAAATTTTACAGCATCACTGGCGTGGCAGGTTGTTCAGGCGCGCAATGGATCGGCAGAATTACGATCTAATCGTTCAAAGTCGCTTTCACTCGATGCACATGATAAAACTGGTCGAATTACGTCATAAGCTTAAGCTTTTTCGAGAAGGTATTGGGCCTGAAGAAATCCCTGGTGTTGTACACGCGTATATCACCATTCTGTATCATTTAGTAAAGCTGAGGCGTCAAGCTGACTTAAAGCCTGAAAGGATCCGTCGGATGGTGCTGTTAGATCAGAGACAAATTCTCAGCTCAGGCTTGCTCGTATACCTGGCCGCGTTGATTACTCGACGCCAGAATCGTGAGACCATTGAATTGGTGAAAGGAATTTTTGCGAGTATTCTCGAAGGCCATAGAAATGAACACATTGTAAATATTCTCCAATGCAATATTGTGCAGAGAGTGCAAGTGGACCTGACGCGCACGTTGCAAACATGTAGTGATTGTAATTTTGCTGTCACTTCAATTCAGAGTTCGCTTAATTTGCTACATGCTATAGCCTCCCAAGCTCATGTGGCGACAGAACAATGGGATCCGCTACTCAGTTCCTACAGTGCATGTTCAAGTCTTCTTGTAAAAGAAAATTCAACTGTAAACAGTCACAATTTCCTGCCGAGCCAAGAAGAGCGGATTATTCTGATGCGAAAGCTGAAATCAGCAGCTTGTCAATTTCTGCTCATTGCTGCAGTTTTTGATACGTTGGTCAAGGTCCTTACTTGCTGTCGAGACGAAGAACATGCCCTTCGAGCCCAGGCACTGGACACTCTGTGTCTGCTGACACGGTCCATGGGCTTTTCACAGTTGCTTGACGCATTGACGCGAGCTGGAGGTCGACAACTTGAAGTAGTACTGCAGTGTTTGAAAGATCCTAATGTAGTGGTGGCACAAGCTACAGCGAATTTGTTTTACGAGCTAACGAGCCATGCAGATGTCCGACACGGGTTTACGATTGCAGGTGCTGTGCAGTGTCTCATCCAATGGTGTCAACCCACTTTCGAAGCATGTGAGTCTCGTATGGCCTATATAATGGGACTTATCGGGTGCACATTATTAGCTCGGCAAACAAAACCAACCACAGCACTGGCAACCTTAAGCACCTTTGAAGAACGGATCGACGCACTTTATAATCTTCTACTGGACCTAGCCATGCAAGATAAGACCTCCATGAAAAGGTCTGCATCCTTTCTATTATCCGTTAATGTGTTGCTGATAATGTTAAAATTCATCACTCAAGTGTCACCAAGTTGTTTGGGGTCATCGATACAAAATTCTCGTCAGCGTAACATCAGCTGTATCTTTCTCGGTCGTCTCTTTACAGTAACTCCAGTCGCTCAAGCGTGCTTTAGTGAAGATATCGTCAATTATCTTGCACTTTCGATCCAATGCAATCGCCTGGATAGAGTCGAAGGTTTTGTGGCTCAAAGCTCATCGAACGATTACTTGATCCATGAACTTGGATCGCTAGAAGCATGCAAGGCTTTGAGCCGACTAGCGCGATGTCCGAGCAAGTTGTTAGAAGCACGACTTCAACCGTCTAGCACTTCCTTTCAGGTACCTGAGTTGCCACAAGCTTTGATCTGCGAGGTCATTTTTCGATTGCATGTACTAGAAGACTTGATTGCGTTTATTCGACCTTCAAATGACGCAGGAAGCATTGCACATGTACAATGTCGTAAAGTTGTTGCTGCTGTGGAACTCATGGGATATCTCCGACCGTTGCCATATGGTGAACGAGCTCGTGAAAAGTTTCTCAAGTTTTACGAAACCCATCCGGATGGAAAATACGCCCAGGCTAAACTGGAACAACTCGTTAAGCTGGTTTGTCCAGCCATTTTGCGGATACTACGCGACAGATATGCCGACATTCACCTTGTTAGTGCGTGTTGCGTAGCTCTGAGTCGGTTAGCGTGCACAAACTCAGCATGCCATATGATGCTTATGCAAGGATGTTTGCAGATAGCTTTGATTCACTTACCTGACAATCCCATTTCGATTGGACCACCAGCATCTTCGCCGAAAACGTTTGGACCAAAGTCGGAGGTATCGCATGACAATCACGAACTCCTTGACGTACCAGCTTCACTGTATTCGCTTTTTGGCAAGCTCTGTTCAGTTGCAAAGGGGCGCAGTGGGATCATGCGTGCTCAGGTGTTACCTCATTTGCTCAAGCGATTGCAGATGGAGCACCCGATTTTACAAAAGTGTGACGACGAATGCAAAAGCGAAATTGCGGTCGTCATTTCTCGGCTTGCGGTGGTTAATGCTGTTGAAGGGAGTGCAGGAGAGCTTTTTGTACATTTTCGAGTGTTAGACTTGCTAGCAAAAATACTTCAGCAACATCAAAGTCTTCGACTTACTCTGGACTTTTCATCGAAACAAAACAACGATGATGTGACGAAATGGAGGCTTCTGGTAAATTCTATCGGTGCTATTGCAGCTCTTAGTCAAAATGTTCTTGTCTGTGTTCCCCGCGTGGTGGCACTTGATATCGTCGCTTTGCTGTTTCCATACCTTGCCATTAAGTGCTCACTGAATGTCAACCTTGAGTCACTGCAGTACGACGCAGTGACTATAATTCGATCAATTGCGTCGTATCCCCATGGGCGATTTCATAGCTATCTTTCGAGCGTAAGAGGAACCTATTTTGATGAAAAGTTAGTGGACAAGACCAAGCAACCGTCCGACACTGATGATGAAGTACCATCAACAGTGTTAATGGATAGAATCAAACAGATTGCATTTGATTACAAATTGGAGCTGGAAAACAAAATTATGACGTTGCGGGACAAGACATCGGTCGGGGAACTTGCTCGAGATACCTTGGCTTATATTAATGAGCATCAGCAGCGACTATATGCAGAGCAGCGTCAAGAACATTGTTCCAAATCAAACGTTGCAGATAAATTTAGTGCAGCACTGACGTCGTGCCCAAGTTCGAAATACTACAAGCTTCATGCTTCAATGCCCAGCGTGCCAAAATCTTCAGATGCATATTTGGATGAGGTCAAGACCTGGAAAGCGGCTAGAGGAGCTGGTTCAGCTACTTCTGGCTATTCAATAAATGCACCCTCTGTTTTTGTGCTTGAGAAAGGATGTAAATCACCTGTGAATTCGAACGGAGTGAATATTGCAATGACACGACCACCAGGAAACATGAAATCGTTGCCTTTACCTAGATCTCCCCACAATATTATGACTAGGTCAATGTTAAACACTAAAAAGCGAGACAAGAATTTTGCTCACTGCTTAATGCTAGATCCGCTTTTCAACACGCCATAGAATTTAACGTTGGACAGACTTGCAACAATCTACGGAAGGTTAATCCAGCTACATTATTTCGGCTAACAACTTGCTTAAGTCATTGCACAAACTTTAAGGCCAATCGCAACTTTTGAAAAGAGCTTTCCGTGATCAAGACGATTTGAAACTACAAATACAATCTTTGCCCTTTTAACCTACACGCCATCAACAAGTTTTGTAACCAGCTTCAAAAGTTATACAACAAAGACCGATTCACGAATAAAGCAGAACTGTGCCTGACACAATCGTGTCGCTACCGTCTCATTTACTCAAATAAGTTTTAAGGATTAAAGCCACCGTTTTCATTGGAACCATAGGTGGTCTTCACGGCATTGCGAGCAAAAAGCCGCTGCGAGATATCACCATTGCTTCCAGTTCGACGAATCATTGGGCTCTGGCGATAGACGACTTTACCACGGCGCTTTCGCATGAGGTGCGTCTTTTGAAGCGATGGTGACGCGTACATGGGTGACTTTTCGACTGAATCTGCGCCGCGCTTGCGCTCTTCTTTTTCGGAATGGTATACCAGCAATCCCATGACGAGGACAAATAATGCAAAGCCATCGTAGATAGTGAACGCTTGGCTTGCATATTTTCCTGTAAGTAATGGAATCATGTAAAGGAGATCAGTGAGTGGAAGGCCCACGGCTGACGACACGACAAAGAGCACACTGCTGCCTTCTTTGAAGATGTACAACATGAGCTGGTTGTAAATGGTGTTAAAGACAATGAAGATGAGAAAGACTGTGAAGACCCCCGAGTCACACGGTAGATCCTTGCCATTTAGTTCAACTTCATTTCCAATGAAACACTCATGAGCCTTCCAAACATACGATGGGAAGTCTGTCCAAGGCACGGGAGGATCGCTAAACGCCTTGATTCTCACGGTCCAGATCGTTGCAAAGCCAATAAGGAGCTGATAAAAGCTGATCCAGATATTAGCGTACCAGATATCGAGATCCACGTCCTTAAGTCCGATCTCTTTGTACACATTCGATGCTGCGGCTGGTACTAGAGACACAATATACAGCGTGATCCATCCGGCGCTTGGATCGGGTGCATTTGCGGTGTCTTGCCCAGTCAAGACGGGAATCATGTTGACCATACCACCATATAGGACCAAAATTGAGCCCAAGATATGGCCGCGTTTGAAGCGCGTTTGTAGAAATATGTAAGATAGCACCATATTAAACGGCAAATTGAGCTGATTTAGCACATTGGCCATGTTTCCCCTGAGAATCACGAGAAATTAAATCCAAGTATTTCTCTGGCAAGAAGATAAATAAAACTTTACGTACCCGATGTGAGGCGTGGGAAACGCGCCCAGTAGATTGTAAAGTGTATCGAACAGAGCCATAAGCACGTATTTGTAGTGAGGAAAGTTACGCATATCGGGCGTTATATCATCTGACAAAGCACTAACATCTTACACAAGATAACTTGACAGGGTAGCTCAATCCTTACCAGTATAGTAAATCTTGTAGCTACAAAGTGTATGCATCCACAAGACACCGACGTAAGTACTTCATTCTTAATACCAATACAAATATTTTAACGTACGCCACTACGGGAGCGGATGAGACCAAAAAAGCAATAGGAAGAATCACGTTCGTAAAGTACCAAAGGAACTCTGTGTAGTCATATGTGATTCGTCTATAGAAAAGTGACGTTAAACCAATGCAGAACATGACACTGCTACATTGTAACGTACGTATACAGCACACGGTCGACACAGCGTGCCATAATGAGCAAACACAAGGCCACTGCGAGTTTCGATTCCCACAAAAGCAGCTTTAAGTCCATCGTGACTCCCACGATAATATGACAAAACGTAGAGTTAAATGCTACTTAAGAAATATAGTGATTTGAGCCAATGAGAATCAAGAAATATGTTAAGAGTGAAAAATCTGTCATGGAGAGCCATGGTATGAATCGCATGCAAGAGTTATTAAGTAGTTACTACGGATTACAAGATCAAGAGAGTCGGCAGGAACAGTTGCGTAATATTGACTCTCCTGGATTTGATTCGAACTTATACGTTCAGGTGAGTTAGAATTCTTTTTCACTATGAATCCATTATGTAGCCATTTCTAAACGGCTGTCTGCAGGAACTTCTGAAGACCCGCGGGTTAAAGGACTTGTTATCGACCGACGATCAGCTCATTCGTGAGATTAAAGAACTTGATACCAATATGCAAATGCTTGTGTATGAAAATTACAACAAATTCATTAGTGCCACCGACACGATCCGTAAGATGAAGGTCCGAGCTGTAGCCATGATCGAAGACAATCCTTTTTTTTATAGTTTTTGACGCGATATGAATTTAAAACTACATCAGGACAATGTAGCAAGTATGGAGGCGGAGGTGGGACGCGTCGTCAAGAGTATGGACATTATTACGGCTAAGAGCGAGAGTATCAACGTAGCGTTGGCGCCACATCGCTCTACAGTGGAGAAACTGATAGGAGTGCGAAGATTACTTAAACGTTTCGAGTTTATCTTTGATCTGCCACAGAGATTGAATACGTACGTTGTCATGCACAGGATGTTGGATGCTTATAATGTGGTTGATAAAGAAATATAGTGCTGTAAGGCAGAAGAATTATGCGAACGCTACTAAATACTATCTGCTGGCTCGCCGGATCCTGGATAGATATGAGCATATCTCTTCATTTAAGGTGTAAAAAGCTGAACTCAATCGTACTAATCTTATAGCGGGACTCAATGATATATCATCTGATAGACGATTCAAGTGGAAGCTGAAAAAATTATACAGCAGCTTGTAAGGGTGCTGAAGAAACAAATGGTTGACCCATTGCTTGAGTCTCAGGAGGTCAATGCTGTACATCGCTTCGCATATGGCTCCAAGGCTGACATTTTTATTTGTGATTAGCTTTGCGATACAGTCATACTTCTCCATCAACTCGGTGCGTGCACTGATGAAATTCGCGACCAATTTCTTGAATGGCATCAAGTGTATTTTGAGCGAACGGTTGCTGCTCTGAAGGTAGTGATCGTAAATGACACTATTTTATTTTTCGGCCATAAGTCACATACCCTTGATTTCTCGTGTGTTTTCCTTAGATAGAAGAATCAACTTCCTCTGTTCTTCAATTTCTGCAACAATTTAACGCTGATGTGCTAACGAAAATGAGTCAAGTATTCTCAGTATATCAAGCCCACTTTATGCCCGAGGTAGTCGCTCGCGAAAAACTATCAGCGATGCGAAGGTCTTCAAATGCAGTTCGGGATGATTTATTTCTCAGTTTCGTCAAAGAAATGTTTGCACTGTACTCGAGCAAGTGCGTTCTTCAGTTTCGTCGCCCTTATACAGACTTCGTGAGTTCATGTTGGTCTATTAAATCACACATTTCAGCTTAATTTAATGTCGACTGTTTGTCGAGTATCGTTAGGGAACGAGAGATGAAGTATTTAAAGTAATGGGGGACGATGATCTGCCATCGGAGATCGTCGAAAGTGAGTACTATGTTTTCATGCGCGTAATGAAGCAATTTGTTTCGCAAGTGAACAAAGTAGATCGCGCTATTCCAATGTGTGGACTGGCTGTAAGTGCGACTCAAACTGTCGAAGATTGTGTGGGCTTCCAAATCGAGAGCATCTTTCGTAAATTACGTAAGGATACCGGCGAGGTTTTTGTCACTTATCACAAAGATGTTTGCAGTTTGGGGCGAAGCACACATGACGGTGGAAGGAGTGTCCGTCCACTAGCACAACAGTCCGCAAGAATGTTGACCAATATGATGCAGAAATTTCTTTTTCAAATGAAGCCAATGATGGAAACTGGATTCGTCATTCTTTCCAAATTTAGTCGTCTCTTTTCAAACTTGGTCCAGGTAGGATTTGGACTTTTTCTTACTTTCATAGACCAAGGTCAACTAATGTGCTTGTGAACATGCAGAATCAATTTTACGATTTTTTAAAATGGTTCAATGCAGCAGTGCTACAATATGCGGAGCCAAAGCGCGCTTTCACCCAGGCAAAAGTACCTTTTAAAGGTCGAGCTTACGATAACCTCATTCCGTGGCTAGAGTCTACTCCTCAATTTTTGTTATTTCTGGGTTGCATGTGTCAAGAGCTGTCGGCTGAAGGGATTGGGGAATGCGTACGTAGCCTCATTGAGTGTATGCCGGCACCTTCTTCTCTGCCTTTTAACGAGTCGATGGATAATCATCGAATGAGCCAGCAAGATGTGACGCACATGGTTGAAGTAACTCGTGAGTCATCGAATGAGCTTTTTCTGCACGTTGCAAAGCACTATGGTAATCAATTGTGTCTCCTTGTCTACAATGGTGTGGCTGCTACGTCGTGGGCTGATATGGATGATGAACCAAGGAGTGTACAAGAAATGATGGTCGCAGTCGTTGAAGCTACGTTTCGAATTGGTAAAGAAGTCGCGTTGGCACTTGGTGACACCCAAAGTGTATTCATAAGCAAAAATACCCGCACAACTAGCCGTGACTTTCGAAGACGAGCGAGTGCCTTGCGATCTCGCAACGCAGCAGTCACCAGCGCGCCATCTGGTATGCAGCTCGACGTTGATCGACTTTTCGCTCAGAAAGTTGACATATTTCCCTCCCAGCTTGAGCTTACAACGGATGCTTTTATTCAGACAATGCTCAAGATGTGCGTAAAGGCTTTTAGCGAATATGTGCGGTTGATTGAGGTCTCAAAATTTGGGTTACAGCAAATTCAGGTGAATGCCGAATTCCTGCGTAGTACATTGCTGCACATTGTAGCTATTGGAGAGCCTGAAGAAGAAATGGAGAGTCTTTTGTCGGATCTTTTGTCCACTGCTCGTGGACGTGCGGTTGAAGACATACTGATGGATCAGAGCAATGTCGTGGCCATCGTAAGCACTAAAAGCACCCAAGTTTTGTCATGTCGAGGGTAATGTAAAAGCTGGATAAATTTACATAGGTTATGCACCTCTTTGGCTTTGTGACATGGTGTTAAAGTTTATCTTTATCTTATCAGTTGTGCAAATATTGCGCATAGCTAAATTATGTAGCACAGAAATGAGTTAGAAACATTATCGCTTCAAATACACAAAGGTCTTATTACTAGGAAGTATATGTTCCTTCACGAGTATTTGTCCCCCCCAAACAAATATCGGAACTGGATGTAAGGCGATCAAACTTAATTACCTCAGTGTTGTAGTCGCGTGGGAACTAATCGCATTTATGCTCCATGAAGTGGGCTCGTAGTTCAGGCTTGATACAGTCTTGAAACGGATCATCACAGCTGAAAGCGATATGAGCCGAATCAGTGTCTTTCTGTTGATACTGGAAGTCAATGCAATCAAAGCAGAAAAATTTTATAGTAAAACTGAGGCATGCGTAGCTTAGCAAGGTTAAGATAGCAGCCGACAAATGGATTGGGTTCTTAAAATTGAGTCGGCGCTTCTTTATTGTGATTTCACACGCATCATTAAACTTCTGGAGACCAAGTAAGGTAAAGTGTTCGATCTTGTTCTTTGTAGCTTTGTCGCTCGACTCGTACTTAACTTCTTTGTGCTTGCTCATATCCATGCCAGATCGACCAATAGCACTGTTACTTACCAGCGTCATCATCTCTGTAGCCATTACTTTAGTCTTATCAACATCGCTCTCTCATCGAGCATTTGTTACAGCCTCCATTAGGGGGTGAAAGCCTTGTGAGATCTGGCCTTGACAAAGCAGTAGGTCTTGATTATCTCCATACCACCAGATAAAGTCTTTCCACCAAAGTAGCAACCAATCAACTTGCGAGCTGGATTGCTTTCGCGCCTCAACATATGCTTACGAATGACACTCTCATTCGTACAGTCGATGCAGCGGGGCTGTCGTAGCTCTTTCGTTTAGAGGAAGCTTAGCTAAGGTCGCTGACCTTCGTTCTATACTGAAAACTAGTACGAGAGTAGTGGACATACCTCAAGAGTAACCATCACCTTTACCCAAGGCTAATTAACGCTTCCGTTTATAACGTCAACTGTATTTTTTATTTCATTTTTGGCAAAACCGCCTACATCTAAATCTATAGGTTTTTATCTATATAGCAAGACCTAATTAAATGTATAACTACTTACAGCCAGCCACGTACTGACTTCTTTTTGAGTATAGCCACGCCGTTGTGTGGTCACACCATCTTGCGTAAGCCAAACCATTGTGTGAGATTGTGAACACCTACAATTCACATTCAACTGTTGCCTCGAATGAGATTCGCGTGTTTAAGACACCACAACATCACCAGGACCTTCTTCATGAATTTTCTACTCGATGAGCCCTGTCTCGATGACATGAAAGACGCCCAGCCTCGCTGGTTCCGAGAACGCCCGCAGGCAGAGCTTTTCTTCGTCTCTTGCACGCGGTGCAACTTCGGACAGCGCGTCCGCTCCTTCAAGGGAAGCGCTGCCCAAGCTCTCGGTAACCGAATACCGCGCAGCGCATTGTCAGCAACAGGGTCGCATGGCAAGAACACAGACGCGATGTCTAC